AAAGCACCACCCAACATAGCTCAATGGATCGCTGAGGCACACAAACCATCGCACCACGGTAAGGTTCAGCCTCATTGCGATGGAAGTAGTAAAATACCTAGTGACAACTCTGTTAAAGTCACCAGCAAAATTGCAGGGAGAATAAGCCATGTAGTTAATGTCAGTTAGATTGCACTGATCGCAAAATGTCTCTGCCTCCGAAGCTGGACATCTTGTGGAAGTGTGGAGATTCCAGTAAAATTTTTAGTAACCACCTAAGCACATTAGCTTACATTTCAAAATTAAACAGGTACTATGTGACGATTAGAAGCTGAACATATATTTTGATGGGGTGCACCACGGATGACTGTCATAATTGATAAATTTTCTGCCTCATTGCGAAGGAGTTAAGGATGATACTTACACCAGCTTGACCAGGGAGTGCTGTAGCAGCGTTTCAGATCATCATCATCAACAGCAGTACATCAGTAGTTTGAACTGATGCTTCGCTGCCATACAACCATGATGACATGAAATAAAGAATAAGAAGAGGGAGAGAAGGGGGACTTACCTGAAAACCTTAGTGCCCTAAGCAAACATTCAGGGTCAAGGCGCCTACACCTTGTGTAGACAACATACCGTCACAAACAGCTGGCTATTGTGCAAAGTAAGGCGGCATCGGCGAGACAGTTTTCTTGCGGCTTTCACTGCCACGCGTCATAATCAGCCATTACCCCGCAGATGATTCAGCACCAAACACACTTAAAACAGGCAATTAAATTAGGAGACGGCAGCAGACGCGCCACTGGTGTCGATTGCGAGCTATGTCCTGTAAAGTCTGGAGCAGAGCACAAGGTGAGTCACGTGGACTCCAGCCCGGAAGGCGAGACGGACCAACTGCACCCAGTTTGGTAGTCAATAACTTCATTTCCTGCTGCGAAGTCAACATCTGTCCACCTCGAACCTTGCGCCATCCTACACCTGGCAGACTAAATAAGGCACTCCTAGGTAAGCGGTGACCAGGCATACGTAGCACGTGCCCAAGCCAACGCAACTTATTCAGTGCTACCTGTTGTTCTAAGGAACTAGCATGATTATCACTACCTAGTACTCGTCTACGCACATCATCGTTGCGGACACGCTGGTGCCATCCGACACCAACAATGCTACGCAGACAACGATGATCAAAGACTTGAAGGCGCCTCAGATCTTCAGACCGAAGGGGCCAAGTTTCGCTACCATAGAGCAGAACGGCCCTCAATGTGGCCTTGTATACACGGCCTTTCAGACGGGGGGAAACTCCCTTCTGTCGCCAAAGATGCCGCAGATTCAAGAAGGTAGCTCTGGCTTTTCCAATGCGTGAGCTCACGTCAGTTTCTATGCGCCCATCATTGCTGATGCAGCTGCCAAGTGAAATGATCAACAACTTCGAGTTCCTCGTTAGCAAGGGTCAAGGGGTCATCAAGTGGCTGGCGGTCCTGCAGCAACGCTGCACTTCGAAGGTGCGAAGTGCATTCCAAATAATGGGACCACTCTGGACAGACTATTCAGAGTTGATTCTTTTGCCGCAAGATCGCCGAAAAGCAAGACGATATCGTCCGCATAATCTAGATCAACTAACCTTTCACCAGGCAGCACTTCAACACCTACATCGTGAGATTCCGCAACGGAACACTCCATGATAGAATCCACGATGAAATTGAACAAAACGAGGGAATCGGACAATCCTGACGAACGCCACTTGTGGTCGGAAAGCTATTCGACAGGTCACCGTAGACCCTGATGCGGCCTGTAGTGTCCGAGTATAGAGCACGAAGGATGTTCACATATTTCGTGGGAACACCTTTCCGCGCAAGTATTTCGAACAGAATCGATCGATTGACTGAATCGAACGCACTCTTGAAATCAAGGAACACAGCTATTGTCGGTCTGCGTGGCGCTGCTCTAGCAACTAAAGCAGAGTGGACATATGGTCTATCCAGCCACATGAAGGGCGGAAACCTGCCTGCACTTCCCTAATTCGAGACTCCCGTTCCACAATGAGGCGAGTAACGAGAATCGAGGCCATTAATTTCGTCACAACTAGCTTTAGGTTAACACCCCTGTGGCTAGCAGTCTCTGAGACTGATCTTGTATATTGCCAGTATAATCGATTCACTTCAGTTAGCCAGGAAATCCCGGCCAGCGGCACGAAAACGATTGAGGGCTGTGATCGCGTTTCGGACGTTCGCCTCCGACGGAGGCTCTAAACTAACCGTCCATGGCTCGTCCTGCATCATATGAGTAGGGAGCGGTCCGGGAACATGGGGCTAGCTGAACTGGTCTTGTATTCTGCCCAACGAGCCATACGGCGCTCCTTATTGTGTATCAGTGCACCCGTGCTGTCTCTTATCGTCTCACTGACCACTGGTTTCCTGGGACCAGTGATGCGGACCAGCTAGAAGAGCAAGCAGTAATTGAGTACTGCTCCTGCCTCCTCCATTTCTTGAGGCCGACTGGTCCACCAGGTCTTCCTGTCAGCACGCATGCTCCGCTCTAATTCGTCCCTAATAGCCCGTTCAGTCACATTGTGGTCCGAGCCAGCCGGGAGGTTTATTCTGGATTCCAACAGATTTACCGACCTCTCGGATATCCAGTGACTGGTGCGATGACCATTGATAGTGCTACATGCAGATGCTCCCGCGTCGTGCATGGCGGCCGAAGTCCTATTTCGCTAAAGCTGTCATTAGTACAAGACACCGAAGGTTCGGCACACCCTGCGACTTGATATGCTTGCCTGACCGAGGGCTTACAATTTCTGTCGTCAATCAGAGGAGACGCTTGGTGCACCTGCTAAAGTTGTTGGAGAAACGACAGCGTACCAAGGCATGATCAGAGTAGACACAGGTACTCCAGTATGAGCGGCAATCTAGGATGCAACCACGCCACCTGTAGCTTATGGCACTGTTATCAATTTGGGTCCATCGCTTGACTGCTACAGCAGGACGCCAAGTGGCACTTCGGCGCCCACTGTGTCTAAAAGCAGTGCTACTAAGAAACAACTGGTGCTTCGCACACAGTTGCAACAGACGCTCACCGTTGTCAGTCCGTTCGGAGTTAAGTCTATAAGTACCACCCAGCTGAGCTTCTGAAGAGCTCAGACGCCCTGCTTGTGCGTTCATATCCCCTGCAAGTACTATAATGTCTGAACTAGTAGCACTGCGTAGTAGCGCGTTTATTTCGTGATAGAAAGTGTCCTTGACAGCATTAGAACTGCAGTCGGTGGGAGCATAAGCGGAAACCAAACAAACAGCGTCTTTTACTACTACTTGAATCAACCTTAGCTGTCGTCAGACGGGCTGCACATAAACGGCTGTTCACCGGAATCCAATCGACAATGATGGCTCAGCCTTGGAGCTTAGTATGATACCTACACCAGCTTGACCCATCAGTGCTGCATCGGCGTCTCTGGATGCGTGTAACCAATAACGAGATAAGCCGGGTGCAGTTAATTCAATAACCCCGTTAGGGTATTGATCCTAGTTTCGGACACAACACACATCAATACCCAGTGTGTCCAAGGTGCGTGCGAGTGCAGCCTGTTGACCTGTTTGTCTTAGAGTGCGGACGTTGAATGTCGCCATGGAAACGGGATAGCGTGGCCTTATGAGGGACTTTTGCCGACAGGCGTCCAACAGTTGTTGTGGGATGGTGGCTGCGGATGGTTCTACTCCAGTGGCACTTCGGTTGCTGTCAATTAAGCTGGGAATCATAGATTAGTAATGGGGGTCGGGATGGGAGTAAGAAAAAAGGTGGGAAAAGAAGTGAGGCGTCAGCAGTAGCATGTTTTCGCTTATCCGCCTTGCTGTATGCAGCAGATAAGGCGACCCTTGATAATCTGCGCGACGGCCGATGCAGGATGAAGTTTATGTTTGAAGAAAATGTCATGGTTGTATGTGGGCTGAGATACTGCCGGGGCACCCAGACTTAGACAGGAGGACGATTATGGTCCTCATCCAAAGCCTTGGGCTCAAAAGCCTGCCCGCAAGGCAGCGGGCAGAAATGGACGCCGACGCATTTCAAACCCCCAACCTGGAGGACCAGGAGACTGAGTTTGTCCGACCTCTCACCATTGACCAACCTGGTAGGAGTGGCTCTCAAGGTGCCCGAAGGCATCACCCAGTATAGCTCAATGGGTCAATGAGGTACGCAAACCGTCGCACCACGTTAAGGTCCAGTCTCGTTGCGACGGCGTTTCAGATGCGTGCAACCAATGCGAGAGGACAAGCTGGGCGCAGTTATTTCAACAACCCGTTTCCGACACTATATACGTCAATAGCCACTGTGTCCAACGTACGTGCAAATGCAGTCTGTTAACTTGTCGTAGAGTGCGAACGTTAAACGCCACCAGTGAAGCGGAACAGCGTATTAGAATAGGTCACTGGTGCCGACAGGCACCCCGTGGGTGTTGTGGAAAGGTAACAGCAAACGGTTCTACTCCAGTGGCGGTCCTGTTGCTGTTAATTAATCTGGGAAAAAAAGCAAGTAATGGAGGTTGGGAGAAGAGAAACAGCATCTAAGCTGAGGTACAAAACAACTCCCGACGACACTACAAACCGACTCAAACGCTTAATAACCATTATTAACAATACCCCTTGGCAAACACCTCATCAAACGGAGAAAATAAAAAAGCAACTACACACATGCGACAACATAACAAAGTGGCGACCAGAAACTAGTGATGAGCCACGAGTAGGTAAAGCAAAAAATACACAGATCCAAAACACGGATAATAAATCGAAGCCAAAACGAAGAGGTATTAAGCACATCACGGATACATGAGTAATCAACATTTCAGTACTCAAAAGAGATCTCTTCGACGGACAGACTGCTGGAAGAAAATCACAAAGTCAAGAACCCCGACCCAACTCAGCTCAGCTTGCACTAAACTAACAGATTATCCAAAATCCAGTAGCAAATACCTGTCCAATACTTGCACTGCCTGCGTAGGTGCCCTGTGACTGCAACTGAAAACACTAGCTGACTTCAACACTTTTATTTACTTCAATGCTAGCCACAAGCTGTGATAAAAAGAAAGCTGTATGACCTGGCGATGATACGTTGTGAATGATATACACTAGGTCAACAATGACGTCTCACCGGACGGTACACGCAAATAATTACAAAATAGCCTGATTGCACTGCAGTAAAGTCAACACCATGTATGTACATGAGGAAGTACGGGGTACCTGGCGTCCTCAGCTATCGACTCTTGGCTGGCCTAGAACCTGAGGCACTAGGACATTTTTCGACTAACGGACTTGCCTACGTGAGACTGACAAGGCCAATCTATGCCTGCAACGGATATGAAAAAGCATTAGGTAAGGCCAGACATGGACCACAAATCACTTACCTCAAACGTAGTTAGCGACGCCCATACCCACCTAAAAAAACAAGCGTAGGTCTGGAACCAATTCCCACTTACCTCCGTAAGGAACGCTTCGAGGGTATCTTCCACTTGGTGCACCAGAACGCATCGGGCCCCCGGCATAATTCTGTTGGCTACCATAGCGACCAAAGCCATCGCCCCAACCTCTGTCGCGATATGCATCCTCCCAACCGCCATAACCCGTGCCAGCATACACATCACCACCACCGCTTCGACCGTACCCACCAGGACCATAGTCGAACATGGAACTGCCCTCTGCGAATGGCGGATAGAAGTCACGAGACCTGCCACCGTAACTACCTCGATAACCTTGCCCATAACCGTAAGGGGCTGGCGGAGCATAGCTACCTTCATCCTCATATCGTCCAAAACCTCTGTGCTTCGTTTCATTCATCTGCTCCTTACTCAACGCCTTCCTGACGTCCGCTCGGCTGCCACCAATGAGATGCGGCTTGTACAGAACAGCTTTATCTACAGGGTCGTAGTCGTCGAAAGTAACAAATCCAAATCCACGAGACACACCACTGTCTTTCCACACCACTATCTCACAATCAACAATATTGCCATACTTGCTGAAGTAATCGCGCAGATCCGCTTGAGTAACATCCTTTCTCAAAGCACTAACAAACAACTTCTTCACGGTCATGTGAGACTCCGGCGACTGGGAATCTTCACGCGGCATAGCACGCTTCGCCTCAACAACTCGACCATCGATCTCGTGAGGACGATTGGACTGAGCCGCATCCACCATCTCAGGTTCCCGATAAGTAACGAATCCAAATCCACGAGATCTGCGAGACACACCATCCTTCATGACAACAACGTCAACTATTTCACCCCACTGAGAGTAAAAATCCTTCAGCATTGCCTCGTCTGTTTGTGGTGTCAGCCCACCGATAAACAACTTGCGAAACTGCTCCGTACGCCTGTCGTTGTCCAACGAATTGCGACGAACCATAAGAAAATGGGAATATAAGCCTAAGGTTAGAGTACAGATGTAGAACGGATGCTATGTTCCTTTGATTATTTAAACAAAATTCTCACAAGGCGTTTGTTGCTAAGCTCCGGCGATTTAAGATTTTTTGTTCATGTATATTAATTTAACATCTTCCAAGGCGCTTTTTGGTATTTTATTTGCAAACGTTTCTTGCTACTGTTAGTTTTGCTCACATTAAGTTCAAGTTCACGTTCCGATTGGACTGGAACGACAGGAGAATCCCGTGGGTGTTCCATTTTAAGTGGATCGTTGAGCAAGGAATTAATGAACTGATCATTTTTGATGGATCGGAAACGGAAAACCCGCATTGCACCCTAGCCAACCAGTCAATGCCCTCGTTTCCTGCCCTAGCGGTCCCTTCTGTGGCATTCACGTGAAGTAAGCAAATGGGTAGAAAGAGAAATTGAAGATCCAGAATCTGGGTGCACTTTAAATAAGAAAATAATATTCATGCGTGAATTAGAGAAAAGTTGCGAGTTACTCAAGAAAATGGAAAGGATTCGTGTTGTCACCCAAGAGCGTCAAGTTGCCGCTCAAAACCCTTAACTGTTGATTCCTCGATAACACTTTCCGGAAGCATGTTCCAACGCTCGATGAGTCTGCGTGACGGCCGGATTTCCACCCTAATCAACTCGGACGGCGGTTTGTCCAGCTTCAAGGGGTGACCGCCTAGAACAGACAATCTAGCGGGATTGAATAGCTCAGATTAAGCTGGACCAACCTTCCCATTTAAGATATGGTAGGTTAGGATTAGGTCTCCTCTAAACCTTCGGTAGTGCATTGAATGCCTTCCCAAACTAAGTAGACGCTCGAGGTACGTCTGTCCCCGTAATCATTCGACTAACCTAATACCCACTCGTAAAACCCTCTCTAGCTCCATTTTGTCCCTGACGAGGCAGGGCCAACAAGCCTGGACGCAGTATTCCAAATGAGGCCGAACTAAAGCCGAGGGCTGTCTCGTAAAGATGTCACCCGTCAAGACTCCGAAAAAACGTCGTATTAACCACAACATGCGGAAACTTTGCTTGCGGCCTTCTTCTAGCTGTTGAAGTGCTATATCATGTTCCAATTAATGAGCTTGCCTGTGCCTATATTTGTTAGTATAGCTTTAGGCTTAGCTGGTATTTTGTTATATCAATCGCTTATTCCGCACCATGCTCTCGTCCACCTGGTCAGGTTAATTCAGGTCGTTAAGACCTAACTCAGGTGCAATTGGGACTGAAACGATGGGATTAGCCCGTTATTTTGCTTTATTTCCAGGGTCGTTGAACGGGGACGTTGGAACAATGTACTTACTGGGAATAATCGCTCGATCTTTTCATGACCCATAGAGTAAAAATTATGGTCGGGTCTGAGATAATGCCAAGCAAACTTATAGCGGATTAAACTCGTGAGTTTACATATCTTCATTGGGCTTAATTGGCATTTAAACAGACTACATACCGGCTCAAAGCGTGCCATCCCACCATGTTTGCCGAAGCGGATATGGAGAAGATTCCGCTGGATGATATAAAAAAGCACATAGAAACGGAAACCATCAGTGTGTATATATAGGGTGTTAGGAGTTGAAGAATAAGCTGCTGCGTCAGGTGGAGACAGCTGGAGGTTGACTGGGGCTAGCATGGAATATGAAATGTAGTAGAACATTGTTGTCTCAGGGAAGGTCGTGATGCAGCTCAGCAAGATTACAGTCCAGACGGGTCATAAAATCAGCCATAGTAAATGCCGAGGCTAGGTCGGCAGGCGCAGCATTTCACAGTCGGCGGGTTCGCAATGCGAAGAAGTGTCGCCTGCAGATCAGCAGATCTTGCTGATGTGTGGGCCTCGGCCGGTGATCTAGCGGTTGAGAGCACGTTGGTTGCAGTGTGATTTGCTAGTGGCAGGGATGTCCAGGCTGGGGTACGATCCTAAAGACAAGAATCATGTCGCTCCAGAGAAGACGGTACTTTAGTAAGTAGAGGTCCAAGCAGTTACTTCGTATTGGCTACTATTGGAGTTTGGGACCCCGAGCCAGTGAGTAGCTTCAATGTTCCAGACAAACTACCGCTGGAAAAACTTAAACACCTGTTACTTACTAGCTGCAACATGTCACTCGACTCTTACTCATGTAAGCGTCTGAGTAAGTGAAGCAGCAAACGAAGCTGTCCAGTTATCTTCAACTTTCGCAGCCAAGCGCTTGCTGCAAGTGCGCTAATGATAAAATGAGAACTTAGACTACGCCTCAACCTTGGACCGATTTTTCTAAAGTCAGCTGAAACTCCCTTACAAAGGGCATCTGCGTTACCAAAAAATGCCAAAAGTCAAGACAGGTCAAACTCGCGAAATGGCTTTACATTTGTTGCGACTGCGGGCACTACTATACACTCCGCGACACTTGCTAATGTGGACATTGACTGATCTCCAAAGCTCGCAACAACAGTCTCATCACTAACAAGCGACATCCAACGAACATACAAAAGTCAACCTAGGAAATACCTGGCCCTACGCATGGCGGTTCATGCGAGTCCACGACTTCCACCAAAGGCATAGAAGATTTCATGACTAGATCTGAAGAGCAGGAAAATAGTCACGCGAACTTAAGCGCATCTTTACCTTGTGGTCTTCACATGTTGTACTTGCCACCACCATACCAACACTCATCATAGGTGGTTATCCGCTAACATATACGGTTCTCTGTAGCGTATAGTAGTGCATGCTCAACTGTAGTCTTTAACAAGGATTACGCCCAGTGTGTACCGAAGGCTTTGCCTTAATTAGTTCTGGTGGTTTCCATTCTTGATGGCCGTAGAACGCCGCTCGCCGACGACTGATGGATATCGATCACCTTGCAAGTCTTGTTCGCGATCTCTAGTGCTCCATTAGACACACCATCGCTCAAGGGAACCTTCTCGTTAAAGTGGTTTACTGCGCGAATGCTCAATTTTTCCAAAACGCGACCCCAATACACTTCGGTCCGCGATGCCCTCCACTGTCGACTGTAGATTGCGTACGCCTGAAATTCAATCTTCCGTTTTCCATGTTTCGGAGTCTCCACTCGAATCTTGACGTTTTCCGTCCACCCACGTCAATCCAACTCCCTCACCCTCACGGAACGTTTTACTCGCATCACTGTGTCCGGAACTTCATTTTACAGCCAGCGCTTCCCAGGACGTTCTCTATACCTACAACCTCTGCCGCACCTTATTATTGCGAATAACCCACGGCTTCCTCCCGCAACCCTTGTTTGTCAAGCGAAATCCATATCTGTGGTTGTGGAAAAGAAGTTTCCACTAGGAGGAAGAGTTCTGCTTGATGAGGGTCCGCATGACACAAATATCTGCCTACCCTGACGACCATCGGAAGTTTGTAAACCTGTGTTTCATGGCTCAGAGGTCAAGTTCTACAGAGATCAAGTTCTACAAACAAACAACGCCATACTGCTCCTTCCGTCCTGACGCGCACAGCGCAGGCACAGGAAATCCATGACTCTAGCAGCTCGGGGAGTGTTGACCCAGCGCCGGTTAACTGATTACCTGCACGTCATTCCAACATGCTACATCATTCGGCACGACTCACATGTCACTGTGATTTGCAACTCGCTTGCTCAACTGCTGATGAACCTAGTAAAACCCGCCGTTCGCAACTACACAAGTCGCCTGATGTGCACAACTGCTATGCGGCACGCAGTCAGGTGCTTACTGCGAACGAACTGCGTTCACTGGGCACTACCGTTTGTCTTGATTCCGCCAACCCCATGTCTTCAAGTTACAGGCAACGAAAACCAGTTCCTGCTGTTATCAAACGCTCAGACCTCAAGCTGAAATACATGGCCAACAACCGGAACAGTGTTAATGAGTTAAGGCGTAAGCATAGAGCTGGCGCTGAGCACCCGCTGAACAAGAGAGATAGTACTGAATTCAAGGTAAGCTTGCACCCTCCCTCCTTGTTCCCATACCAAAACCAACCTCATCCCAGGCACAACTGTTTCCGAGGCAACACACTGCTACTTGAATTTTGCAGTCACCTGACCACAAGGTCTACAGAAGACGTGAACTTTGAGTAACTGAAAGCGGTAAGGGAATCCAATGAAACTAGTGTGTAGTGCGCCAGTGCAAGTACCGATAATACCAATCAACCAGTCGAATTTCACTGGCAACTCACCAAATTTCCAACAATTATGCTGGGGCCCAATAAGTCCAGCTCCTATTTTCTGGGACAATGTGGAAGTTCGCCCACACCCTCAATATCAACAAGGCATCACTTTGGGCAAATTCAACATCCGCATCTCTTAAACTGAACGCCGTCTCGTCTGCGCCTCCTAACGGCTCCAAGTGGATTACCTGCAACCCCATTCTCAATATTCGTCCGCCAAATTTTCTAAGCCCTCGCTGCTTCAGACGGAAGGCCAGATTAACCACCAACTTACACCCCTGATATCAGGCACTGAGCAGCCACCTCCAGCCCTCAGGTTAATCACGCCGGCCCCAAAGCCACCTACACCTTTTCGAAGTCGGGTGCCTTCACGGTGGGTCATCCATCTAGCACCTCTGTAACCAATACGCCATTCCAGCGCCTTCCTGCATTGCTGCTGTTCACTAGCTTCCCAATGGAGCATTATATCTCACCAGCAGGTCCCTCATTAAATCGAATGTCCCTCTCCACCTACCCTGCAGTGAAGCAGACCCTAGTATGGTGAAAGGCCCCCGCAAGCTGATCGAGGACGTCGCCCCGCCTGGGGCAAAAGCAACCTCCTCGGCGAACGCCGCTTGCAGACTACCATCCCATTCTCGGCACGTCGATGGCCAGTCGTCATCAGTACCAATTCCTAACCCTCCTTGAACACACACATGAAGGCTTCATCTGCACAAAGCGATCACTTCCCCTAACTTCTCCGCTCTTCGCTTCTTGCCCACGAAAGCGCACTCTACGCAAGGAAACGAGAATTTGACGTTCCCAGCAGGAGATCCCTCCAGTTACCTTAAGCACAATGATACTGCCTCTCCAAAGGCACCTAACGATCGGAGCCTCCGAACAATTTATCACCC